CACCGTAATCCTTTTTCAGTGAAAATCGCAAACAAAATTGTGTCAAAACTGAGACTTGCCTTAAATACTTGATGGATGCTGTTCACTGAGTCGAAGCTACTAGAAAACGATAGAAGTTCGATTATGAATCCTCTCGTACATTTGATTTTGCTTGAAAGCAAAACGACAAATTCCCTGAATTGGATCAAAAATGCTCATAAGTCGAGCAACGCTCGTAAACTGAAGCAAATTTCTATCAAAAATTAAAATCGCAACTCAAAATATTCACAAGTCGAAACATCACTCAAAACCGAATTAAACGCATTGGAAGAGGACAGTTTTTGCGTTTTGAGATACTTTTCGATCGCAGAAATGGGTCATTGTATGTTCGCTCTGTTCCTGATTCTGAATAAAACGAAAGACTATCAACAGTAACACCATTCAGTGATATTGTGATGTACTGTTTTTTAAATCCTCATTGTGGATTTGATTAAAAAAGTTGTGCGTGGGTGTTCCTTTTGTTTCGTTTTCAGTTCACGCAAACGAATGAATGATGCCGTTTATGTGAGATGCATTACTTCGAAAACTCTCATCAGATTCCTACTTGTCAGACACGTTTGACTGTTCCAGAAACGTTTTCTTTCTAGAAGTGTCTATTCGAGAATGCCCTTTAATCATCTGACGTTCCATGCATAAATTATAGTATAATATCTTATTTTCCCTTTTCACACATTGCAACTAACCCAACAAATTCAATTTGAAAACTTCTCAATCAATTTTCTTTTAATTAATCTCAGAAGTCAGCCTGCACAATACAATACATCGAAAATCACTAATTGTCTATCGGTTTATTCAGTTGTATCAGTACACTCTTGCGTTTTTAGCATCTCTATGTGTTTAGTTGAAAATGAGCACCGCTCCATTTAAGAAGGAGACTCGACTTTCGTATGAGTACTTTCGTGTCGTATGAAGCCATTCTAAGAATCTGTTTCTGAAATTATCTAGCAAAAAATCTTCATGCGAGACGCACAAAGCGTTAGATTTGAATCAAAAGCATTTGAACTCTCTTATCATCAACAACGAAAATTAATTTTTCAAGTAACACACAAAATTCTCAGTGAATTTTGACTTGAAGTCTAATTTGTAGAATAACATTTTTTTTTCATCGGTAATGCGCAAAATTTTTCATATTTATTTCGCAAGATGCTTTTTTGAAATTGTTTTGTCAAGAGCGAGATAGCAAGAAGGAGGAATGGGTCAATAGCTTCATTGGGAGATAGCTTTTCTGCGGGGAATTTCATTTTCACGTTCAAAATGGTAGCAGTCAATTAGCAGTGACGCTTACTGAGAATCAGATCATTCCATCTTCGGATACGGGAGGTGCATCGATTTGCATGACTGATAACGAAAGACGGGTGATAAGAGGTTTATCATTGAAATATCGAAAATTGTCTTATCAGCGCAATCACTACGTGAATTCAACGATGAAGTTGTGTGCATTAAGACAAGATCACTTTCAGTTGCTGCCAAATACGACTTCAAAGTAAATTAATGTTAAATTGAGTTGTATGGCATTGAGCGCTTCATTTTTTGTTACATCGTAAGTGAGAACGATTGATTCGCTTTTTCGGATATTTGATTTTTTTAATGCGACTTTACGACTTTGGACTAACTTGATTTGTCAATAACAAAAAAAACCAAAAGTTGTTGGTTCGGCTATGAGAACGTTTTCAGTTCAGTCGTAATCTTGGATTGTTCTATTCAACGATGCTCGGTTTTGTCCTCGATGGGAAAGCAAAAAAGAAAACGAACAAAAAAGAACAATGCTTTGGAACGATTGATTCATTTCTTCGAGTCCGATTGAATTTTTCGATATTGTGTGATTTTTTTGGTAGCACATTGATGTTGATAAAATTAATGGTGAATGCATAGTCGGATGAAGAATGATGATCTGTAATACATCGAATGCAGTCTTCGCAGCTGGAAAATGCTTATTTATTCTCTTCAGTTGAGTCGTAACGCAAAGCATCGACGTTGTTATTACAATATCGATGATGATTTATGCCAGCAAAGAATGCGGAGCCATTGCTTTCTGTTCAAGAAGAACAAGGAAAGCCGTCTCTATCGGCTTGTACTCACTTCTTTATGACATTCTCGATCTTACTGATAACCGATTCCTATCAAGAAAATTGATAACCTATAACCTATTCTTACTGATAACCGATTCATATCGAGAAAACTCATGCAAAACCGAGAAATATCATTTTTGTTAATGTATTTAACAACTGGAATAGAGTTTGTTACCTCTGTCACGCTTGGTGAATGTATGATGACTGCTTGCTGCTGTTACCAATTATAACGCTCCTTTTGCTTAATATAGAACGCATGCAAAGATTCCTATGTAAACAACAGACGAACAACTATGGGGCAATGTTGAACACAAGCAAATATGAATGCCACCAGATCGAGAAAGCGTTCGGGAATCAATCCCATTAATGTGTGTTGAACAGCTTATGTATGAATTAGTTATGTCCAAAAGTTCTTTCACATCATACCTAGATTAACGTCCAGTAAGTATTTAATCGCAGCCATGTACACTTTTTTCATCTCGTTCATCATTCAGTCAGGCTACGTTTGATATTCAGAGCAGCTAGTTGAGCGGTTGTGTTCAGTTGGCCTACCAGCGGGGTGGCGTCAATTAAAGCTTGAACAATGTGAACGGAAACGCATTGTGGCCACGAACTTGACAAATGTTGCTGGTCACATTTGACGCATATCAGTGAAAAAGTGACGACTCGTTTTTAATTTCCTCATCCATTTTATCGAGTCACTTTTTCACTGTATGCGTCAAATGAGGCCATCAACGTTTGTAACGTTGATGGCCACAATGCGTTTCCCTTGACATTATTTAAGCATTAATTGATGCCACCCCGCTGGCCAGGCGGGCACGCCAACTGAACATAACCACTTAATTAGTCACCGTAAACACTTGGCATAAGTAAACCTAGCCGAATACCAATCCGCTGAATATTCGTAACTCTAATGAACATCATTCATTTTATATTCCAAAAAAAATTTGCCGTATACTTCGGAAAACGGATACTTCAGAAAGGACTCTCTAAAACACGATCATAAGCATGAGCAAATACGGACTTTCAGTTATTCCT